GCGACTACTTTTTCCTCTACCTGTGGGCCTTCTGCTTCGTGGTGCTGCTCTTCCTGATGACCATCTACCCCGAGTTCATCGCACCGCTGTTCGACAAGTACACGCCGCTGCCGGAGGGGGAGCTCAGGGACATGATCGAGGCTCTGGCCGCCAAGCTGCACTTTCCGCTGAAGAAGCTGTACGTCGTGGAAGGTGAGCTGACTATTGAGACAAAGAGCTGAGACGTTTAAAACAACAACAGGATAGCGGGATCGTGATAGTGTGTTTTTCAGATACTACAGTCAGTCTTACCATTTTTCAGGATATTAATTGATGTACGTTTGAATAACTTGTATGATATATTCATGCATGATATATTTTTAAGCAGTTTCATTGGCTTGCAGTATGTGACGTATCATGCGAAGTGTCATGTTTAGCAACAATTTTTCATGCCCATCAGTCTCGGGAAGTTCAGTTCTAGGCAACTTTTGTTGTTTATCGTTTCAGGCTCCAAGCGTTCGGCGCACAGTAACGCCTACTTCTACGGCTTCTTCAACAACAAGCGGATCGTGTTGTTCGACACGCTGCTGCAGGACTGGGAGAGCAAGACTGCCGACTCTGAGGGGGAGAAGAAGGACGGCGCCGCGGCTGGGAAGGAGGCCGACTCGGGGGACAGTGCCGGCTCGGAGAACAAGGACTCGGCCGAGAAGGAGACTGCCGTGAAGAAGGGCTGCAGTAACCTGGAGGTGGTGGCTGTACTCAGTCACGAGCTGGGACACTGGAGCATGAATCACGTCTTCAAAAACATCGTCCTCATTCAGGTATCAGCCGTGCGGAAGGACGGGAAAGATTAGGGCGATTGCGCGGCTTGAGTTATTAAACCAACCGGATATAAATCGCTGCAGGGGATCGGCTTCGTTTGCCAAGGTGGCAACACTTCATGGGAAATGTCCATATGGAATGTCCCATCTGAGCTTTCCCGGCTATCGGTGGCGTTACGCTGTCCCACGCTCGATCTGGCCAATACATACCGGACAGCTCACGATAGCCAATAGCCGCCCACGCTCTCTCGTGCCTGAACGGTCACCCGTGTGTGCTATATTGCGTCCCCGTGTCCAAAGTCCACCATCAGTCAATGCGGCGGATATGGGCCTTTTTGCCGAAGTCGCTTCCCTGGAATGCGAAATGCGAGTGTCCTGTCTCGTCCATTGAGCGCCTTTCATTCCTCTTCCACGCGCCATCCTTTATACCGGTGCGCGGATGGACACGGCCTTTAATTCCCCATATTTTCTTCCTTGTGAATATTCTTTTTTACATTATTTTGTTAGTCTTATTTTTCATTGTTTCCTTTTATTACTCTATTTAATGGCGTTTTCTGTGATTATAGTAAAGCATGTAATTTTTTCACATACTTATAATTCTCCACAACATCAAATTTATGGTCGATGCTCATTTTCCAGATTTCGACTGCCGCTGATCTGACCTCCTGACACGTCCGCTCCAGCCGCTGATATTGACACTGACATGTCACGGCCCCAGCCACAGACACTGACCTCCTGTTACTGCCTGAGCCGCTGACACAGACCTGTTTCCAGCTGAACCTGCTGCTGCCGCTGACACTGACCTCCTGTTACCGCCGACACTGACCTCCTGTTACCACTGACATTAACCTGTTACCGCCGACACTGACCTCCTGTTACCGCCGACACTGACCTCCCGTTACCGCCGACACTGACCTCCTGTTGCCGCTGCAGTTGCTGACACTGACCTCCTGTTACCATTGACATTGACATTACCATTGACCTGTTACCGCCGACACTGACCTCCTGTTACCGCTGAGACTGACTCCCGCTGACACTGACCTCCTGTTACCGCTGACACTGATCTCCTGTTACCGCCGACACTGACCTCCCGTTACCGCCGACACTGACCTCCGGTTCCCGCTGCAGCTGAACCTGCTGCTGACGTTCGCCGTGTTCGCCGGCCTGTACCGGTACGCGCCGCTGTACCGGGCGTTCGGCTTCACGGCCGATCAGCCGGTGCTCTGCGGCCTGGTCATCATCCTGCAGTACGTGTTCGCGCCCTACAGCACCCTCTTCACCGTGCTGGCCACCGGCATGTCTCGGCGCTTCGAGTTCCAGGCTGACCAGTTCGGAAAGGCGCTAGGGTGAGTGGGACGAGAATCATACCAAAGGCCAATTTCAAACTTCATATCGCATTTCTGACATAAGACGCCATTTTGTCATAAAAGTGCCTGACTGAATGTTACTTACCTTTGCTGAAGGAAATTTGGCTTGCAATCATGGCAGTCTATATCCTTGAGTCTCGTAAATCGTGGAAATCGCCACGATATTAGCCAACAAACATGCATGTTTTTCACCTCAAATGTGGGCGCTGACACCAATGTTTGCCACCCCTGCCTGAATCAATATAATTTACTAGAATCACACGGCAATGAGTATGGAACAAAAAATGGAAATTGGTGATAAGCTGGAAGCGTGTCATTAATGCGGCACTGCTGATGCTCATTTTCAATATAATTGCAGCTCTATCCGCTCTACATCCATGCAGCTTTTATGCAACCCTGTCTATCCAGACATGCACAAAGTCAAGGCGTATATTTGTAATTATTGGAAGATTGCAGATTCCGCTTTAGCCCTTCTTACACTCCCGTTTGATGCGTCGCCAGGTACGCTGCTCTGCTGAAGGCTGCGCTGATCAAGCTGACCTCTGACAACCTGAGTTTCCCCGTGTACGACCGACTGTACTCGGCGTGGCACCACTCGCACCCGCCGCTGCTGCAGCGACTCGCCGCGCTACAGAAGGTCGACTGAGGTCACGGTTAGGGGGTGAACTGTCGGGGATGGACGGAGTGGCGGGGGGGGGCGTCTGAGCTGCTAAGACAGGGGTAGGCTCGGTTCGTCTGCTCGCTCCAGAGCAGACTGTGCTCACAGGGGTGGGGTAGCGGAATTACATAGGTGAGGTCAGTTGCCATGGGTCTGATCGTTGTCCGGTGCGACGATCAGCTCCCGTTGGGGAAGGGGAGGGGTGTGTTGAGGGAGGGGGCCGTGAGTCTGTGTCGTGAGATTCCGTGAGTCTGTGTCGCGAGGGAGGTGTGCCGTGAGTCTGTGTCGCGAGGGAGGTGTGCCGTGAGTCTGTGTCGCACGGTCATTTGGCCAGATTCGACTGGTGAGGGGCCAGCACTGGGAGGGATGGGTGGGGAGGTGCGGGTTGTTGTGATATTTGTGGTTGATGTTCGGCCGTTCAGGCCGATTGGGACAGGTGTTCTATCTGTTCTGTGGAGCGTGCTCCATCTACAGACGTTCGGTCATTTCTGTGGAGCCGGTTCCATATGAATGTGTTCTGTCAATGTTGTGAAGGCAGGTCCATATATGCCGCACAATACACGTTCTTTCACATTTAGTTTCATGGAACGTTGTTATTCGTAAGTGCTTTTCACTTGAAAATATTTCGAGTTATAGTCTTATTTCAAATTTTTCATAGAGATACAACAATCATGAGACGAGTCTACCGAAAATTGCTGTCGTACCAAACAGTACCCCTATGAGCAGTATGCTTGATTAAGGTGCGTGGAAGATGCAGTTTAGTGCAATACGGTAAACATTATTCGTCCCTTCCGTTCGTTTGTTGTTCGTGACGTTCGTTTTTTCTTCTGGAACTATCAATGAATCGAATTTTGACCTTGCGTCTGGATGGACAAACTTGGGCTAAATGATCACGAATGCTTATAAGCAAAATTTGATTTACATCATTTAAAAATAAACGCCTTGTTCATCGATTGACGAATATCCGTTAAGTTAATGTTTTTGACGCCGAGAAACCGTTCTTAATTGTCTCATCGTCGCCGCCCCTCCATTGTCCCATCGTTGTTCACCGTTCTTTATTGACGTAGGGGAGAGTGGGGCAAAGCGGCCACCCTAACACTTCTCACGATGCCAACGCTTGATTTTTAAACTTGGAAAGATTCTTTCTATACCAATGTGATCCCTATTAAGTTGCCTTTAATTTCAACTGCGTTTTATTTCCAAAGGCGTTCACATATGAAAGATATTGACAAAACTTTAAACCTATGCATATTGGCCACTTTGCCCCATACCCTGGGGCAAAGCGGCCACCGGCGTCTTCTCAAGTCCCGATATGAGAAACAAAATAGTTGCCTCGTGTACGACTAGGGTATTTGATGGTGACAAGGTTAAGCGAGGATGGATGTTTACTTTATCATCTTCCACCTGTAGGTAAACAAAGAAAGGATTTTCATGAAAATAAACATTTAATTGCATTATTTGGTAACTCATGCAACTGAAAAGTGGCAAAGATGAATGCATGACGACACATTTGAATATAAATAATGTTTTTTATCCAGATGGAAGCAACTTATGCCCAATTGGGGGGTGGCCACTTTGCCCCGGCCACTTTGCCCCGCGCATACCGTCCGAGACAAAAATATTCCAGCTTAGCTATTAGTGGGGTAAAAAACATTAAAATTGGTAGAATACATGTACAATACCCATGCAATGCATGGACAAGAACGCTTATAAAAATTCCAAACGGTTATGGAATAACATAACATTTAAAAATTGTAAACATAGTTGGTAACCTGGCAAGAAATGCTTTTCCGTGTTTCACAGAACAATGGTGATGGGCCTGAAACCCCGGTCTGGCTCATTCGAACGACCGTGCAGAGAAGTATAATTGGAAACCATAAATTGGAACTGACGCCAGCTATGAAGGGCTAAAACGATGGGTGGCCGCTTTGCCCCGGGTGGCCGCTTTGCCCCACTCTCCCCTATTTACCCGACCGAACCTGCTTATTGTCAACTGACCTAGCCTGATTGACAGAAGAGGTGTGGATTGATGTGTCAAAGATGTTTTACGTTGCAATGCTGTCCGTTCAAGTAGTTGCATGCATGTTCGATGTTGCATTTATGTAAATACCAGCTGGGTGTCGTGTCCAATAGCGTGACATTGAAGATGACAACTTGGGTAAACAGACAGGTGACTATCAAAAGGAGAATAGTGTATTTTGATCATGTCATCGTCACTGATTGCATTTCAATGCACAAACACTCGAAAAGATAATAAATAGCAACTTAAATAGATAAAACATGAGAATGATATGATACAATGATATGATATGCTCGGCGATTGTGATACGAATAAATAATGCAAGTACAAGCTAACAAGATGACGCAAGGAAGTTGCAATACACTGCAAGCCTTGCAACATTGAATGGACTTTGGCAACGACGCGACATGAACACTCTGGTGGACAAATAGCTCATGGTTGTTCGAAACTGGTTATAGCATCCCATAAATTGATCTCGGAAATTGTTGGAAGACATAAGCTCCGGAACAATGTCTAGCGAAGGTCTAGCGGTGGTGTCCTCGTGAAATGTCCTCAGTCACAGCTAACCTCCAAAAATGCCGTTTAACAGCGAAAAAGGCCGCTACGAACACCACTGCCCCGTCATCACAGTCCCCATACCGCCGGCGGTCGGGAAACAGGCGTGTCCGCCCACTTCAGCAGCGCAATCTGAAAGATTCTACTTTCGAGATCCTGACTCGGTTTATGCTGCGGTGGCCGTGCTGTGACTGGCAGCTGGCGGATGACGGACCGTCATCAGCGCCGCGCCGCACGTCATCGACGTCACCGCGTCGCGCCGAACGTCAGTGCGCCCGGTGGTGTGTGTTCAGCTTGAGCACGTGGTTGGCTACCGTTGACAACTGGTCCGATATCTGTAACAAGGGCACGTGCTCCAATCAGTGGGACATCCCACCGCTTGAGAGTGGTGTCTGCATCTGGCTCGAGAACATTCCTAAAGCGGGATCAGCTTATCGCGAATCTCAGTTGTCTGGCACGGTCAGAACGCGCCTGTGCATGATAAGTCAACGTAGCGCCGCCTATTGGTGGCTACAGTCGGCGGAAGTGCTGACTGAAGTGGCCTCTTCAGAGACAATGTCTTGTCGCTCGTTATCTCTTTGGCGCCCACGGAGGCGGCGCCCGTGATCCATCGATAGCAAACCAAGGATGATGATGAAATTTTGGCAAGTAACTGAACATGATGGATGACGAGTGAACAATTGAAGCACACGATCACCTTCCTTCAGATTATTTCCACCTGTACCGGTTGATGCGACCTGTCCTTGCGTGTCTATATCTCACATGCAAACCCTTGGGCCACGAAGTCACCAGTCAACTCACCGCCTTGTAGAAGAGGCAGGCGGTGCCGTGTTCGTCCTCGCCGCCGGGACAGTCGCGTTTTCCGTCGCACAGGGTGTCGGCGGTGGTACACCTCCAGGCGCCGCTGCTGTCCGGGCTCGGGCAAAAGAACTGCTCCTCGCCGTTGGTCGTCTTACGACATTCTGTGAGCAAGAGAAGGGGTGGCGTCAGGCAAAGCGCTGATGGCGCGTTCGGTAACCGACAGCGGCTGTGTCGAGCTGAGATGACTACAGCTGCTTCTTACGGTTCGAACGGAAATTTCGAAACGGCGCTTTATTTTAATAAGACATGATATTGCAGCGCCACAATGACTGTCACAGCCAGCTCGGCTCCTCACCTCCACTCCGCAGCCAGAACTGGTACTCCTCCCGGCCCAGCCGGAGCCCTCCGCGGCGGCGGCCCTTCTTGCTGCGACGCGGCCGCGAGGTGCGTCCGCTGTACTCGGCAAACTCGGCCGAGTCCACGGCGGGCCTCGGCGGCCGCTCCAGGGGCGAGTCCTCGGTACGGTCCTCCTGGTCGTCCCAGAAAGATTCGGTGCCACTGGAGACCGCTGCTGCGCCGCTGGGGACCGCTGCCGCGCCACTGAGCGTCCCTTCGTCACCAGGCAGCTCCGCGTCACGGGCAGCTCCGCCGGACAGAGCTGCTGCCTCTCTGGAGAGCTGCTGCGCCTCGCCGGCCAGCGTGGCCTCCACGTCTCTGAGCGCCGCCGCCACGGACAGCAGGTGGAGGGGCAGCTGCCGCCGCGGCGCCGCCCGGCCCTGGATCAGATCCACCGACACCGCCATCACAGTCAGCACCGCCAGCGCGCCGGCCGCCCCGCGCACCACCGCCGACCCCATGCTCCCGTGTGTGTCTGCGCCGGTACTGACGGGCCGCGCGCGGCCGCCACCTTTTAGCGGCGTCGGCCAGATCGGCGCCCACCATTTGTCTGACGTCACGTGATGTAATCTCAGGCCGCTCGCACGGGCGTGGGTGTCGGTGTTTGGGTGCCGCAGGGCAGGGGGCAACAGGCGCGGCACCGCGACTCCTGAGACACGGATATGTCACAGATACAGCGAGTGTGCGCGTGGCGGCGCTGCTTTAGAATGGTCATCGTGACGAGAGTATGTCGATGTCGGCAGCTCTGAAGGTTCGAGATGTGGGACAGGTGGAACCCTTGCTGTATTGGTTTGAAACCGCCAAACATTCTATTATAATTGATTTTCCCCGCAATGAAAATGCATCATGTGACATTACTTGTCAGTTGACACTGGACATGAGCATGACAAGAGTTTCTAGACCGAAAATTGCTCTGCAGCTGTTTTTGCCCAAGTGATTTATCGAGAACCAGACGGCCTGACCTTTCGAACGCTGACCTGACCCATGAGTGGTTGCATCAAAACCGCAAAATTTGGTACCGTTCGCTGGTCTCGTGACGGCTAACATGCTCGTTTTTTGTCACCAAGTTCTAGTTCAACCGAAAGCGAAACATCAATGGTAGTGGCCAGTAGGTGTGGTAGGACCAGTAGTAGGTCCAACTCTTTCATTGGACCGGGATGATGATGATGATGATGCAAGATGAGGCTTGCCAAAGTTAGCGCCGCTGCGCTTCCGGCCGTGGTTATGCTGCCGTAAACAGTTCCGTGCGGCTAGAGTGAAATAACTTATGTAATGAATCTAATAAATGTAATAAGAGCTAGTGATACCACTCTTGACAGGGCGTTGCTGGATGCAGCACACTGCATGGAAATAGGCGGTGGAACCGAGGGGGGCACCGTGCCCCCCCTGATTTTGCCATTTTAACATTAGCCCTATGGGCGTTGCATGGAAAGAATGGGACCAAAAGTCGGCAGTGCCCCCCCCCCCCTTAATTAAAGGTGTTCCGCCGCTACTGTACATGGAGAGGAATCAACTATGTAGGTAACTATTGGTAAGGATTTCTGCAATAACAGTTTCAAAAGACTTGAAAGTGTTTCGACAGCTCCCGATTAAAGTAAAGGAATCTGGTGCTTTAAATATTTTAAATGGTATAACTAATATCTTCCCTGCAGTTATATAAAAGCATTTATAGCTGTATTAGCATGTCGCTTGTGATGACTTTCTGACCCAGCCCACATCTAGTCGCTTTGAAACTTTCAGCGATTGAGGAGAGTAACAGTGTGCTATCAAAATGTTTATCTATATCGTAATTTGGATATCTGTGACCTAAGGTCAGGTAAGTTTTGCGACCTCATCATTATAAGTCAATAGGTGAAAACTGAAATGCGCCTTTTTTGGACGAACGTCGTTCTAGATACTCTAAAACATCGGTGTACAGGTAAACATGGCACACTGACTCAGAACATTGCACATGTCACCCCTATTTGTGCCCCTGAGGTCATTTCGGGTCATGAAAGGTTCCCTGCAGTTTTTTGGCAATAACTTTTGATGGAGACACGCTACAGCGATGAAAACACCTTGAATGCGCTCAGGTCGACGATACGGATCGACTGATATATAACATGGCCTTTTTCGATCAGATTCTGATCTTGACCTTGGGTCACATTTTCAAAATGACATGTAAAGGTCAAATTATAGTTTATTTAACTCGTCTCGACGAGAGAAATACGATGCCGTCAAAATAAATGTTGTGCCTTTCATCAGTCAAAAGTTATTACCGAAAAGCATTTTTTCGTAAAACAATTAGGTATATTTCATAGAGTTTTTGCCCTCTTTCTGGAGGCTAAACCGTTGACCCTTCAAATCTGAGGGACATTTTAGCGATAGAGCAGTAAAAGAGCTACTTCGAATGCGCTTGACTATTGGTTCCTGAGTTATGTGCCGGTTTGTCGAAATATGAAATTAGGCAAAATTTGACTCGGTGACCTCTGATGATGACCTTTGGTGACCTGACCTTTGACCTGACCTAAAAAATGAGCAAAGTGTTTTCATTATTGTTAACGTTCTTTCGAATGCCGGTTACCGCGTGTCGCTACGTGGTCCAGGAGCTGAGCTTAACGGGGGGGGGGGCGTTTTCACTCCCCCTCCTCACGCCCACGCCCCCCTCCCAGCACGACATGAAAACTCAGACCACTATGTAGAACGGCGCGGGTTAAATACGAATAGTATGTATTCTGAAAATGTTACGTCAGCGGTCAAAAGCACCCGGCTTGGTGAGTGTTTTGCCGTCTTCCCTAGCTTAAGTGGTTACGAGGGTCACGTGAACTCCAACATGGGACATGGGACATACCATACCATTTGTTGATACACGTAAAACCCAACATGCAGTATGCGCTTACGCAAACGCCACTCACATGTGATATAATTATCAACTAATAATAACTGTGAGCAAATTTAGCAGCTCATGATGTGAATATTGACATCATCGTATTGATATCCAGCTGCGATATCCTGCTTTTCGAGTGTTGCCGGAGTTGAAAACTATGTGGACTTCCCGTGCAGCCACCCCACTCGGGCCGGCTCTCCTCCCCCGCTGTGGTTACCGCACATAGCACGTGCTGAGCTGGGGACGCACTCAGTGGCTCCGTCGGCTCGCAGCCCGCCCATCGTACGAGCTGCCGAGTTTCCCGGCTCTCGAGCACGCGATCCATTGATAAGTGCCGCGTCACGCCGTTGGCTGACGAGTCGTCGAACGACATCGGCTAATCGTGTGTAAGCTCTGGCTGAAGTGGTTGTTGTGATTACGACTTTTGCAGTAAGCCTGGTCAGGTTTGGATACAAATATAGGGACTTAAGAAGTATGCGTGTATTCATTTTGGCGGCTTAGAAATATGGTTGTACAATGCAGTCACACTTTACCGGTTGACGTCATTGAAAATATTGCGAATATTACGTTATGCAAAGGCATCCTGATTCGCTGCAGAAGTTCGGTTAGGAAAGCATTGGATGGGCTCAGAATTCTGAAGGAAAAATTGTCAACTAAGCATCTCGGGATTGGGTCTGCGCCGCCATGGTTGATATACTAGTTGATATACTGCGTTGGTTGATATACTACATAGGCGCCTGAATATAGACCGCGCCGCAATGCACACGCCTGAAGGCAGACTGTGCCGCAATGCAGACGCCTGAAGGTAGCCTGTGCCGTAATGCACTACTGGTTCAATGACAGAATGCGCCGCATTATGCACACGCCTGAAGGTAGACTGTGCCGCACTACACACGCTTGAAGATAGACTGTGCCGCAATGCACTATTTTTATAGGGTGCACCGGCACCGCAATGCAGAGGCCGGAAGGTAGACTGCGCCGCAATACACAGGCCTGAGGGTGGACTGTGCCGCAATACACATGCACGAATGTAGACTGCGCCGCACTACACACGCCTGAATGTAGTCTGCGCCGCAATGCACACGCCTGAAGGCAGACTGTGCCGCAATGCACTATTGGTTGATAGACTGCGCCGCTTTATACAAACGCCTGAAGCCCTGAAGGTAGACCGCGCCGCATTATACCTACTTGAGGTGGCAAAATGTGGACCTGAGGACCCGGTCCAAAGAACCAGTCTGGACCCATATGGGTCCAGACCGGATCCTGGAAATTTTCTGACGGGTCCAACCGGGTCCTACCATACATCATGCAAACTACAAATGATTGCAAAATATGAAGTGAATGGAAAGAAAACATTTGGTCAAGTTTGTGTCTTTGCACACTGTACCTCGGGAGTATTTCCAGGGGGGAAAAGGCTGTTTTACATAATGCAATTAATGCTACCTACGAATAGGTTATATTAATTGACTTTTGGGGAACGGGTCCAACTGGTTCCGATTCCAGCTTGGGCCGGGTCTGACTGGTTCCAAAAATATCCAGTCGGGTCTGGTTCGAGTCTGGTTCCCGAAATTTTCACCTTTTGCCACCTCTAATACCTACACACGTCTGAATGTAGACTGCGTCGCACTAAACACGCCTGAAAGTAGGCTGCGCCGCACTACACACGCCTGAAAGTAGACGTGCCGCAATATACGCGCCTGAAGGCAGACTGTGCCGCAATGCACTATTGGTTGAAAGGCTACGCCGCACTGCACATGCCTGATGAACGTATGTATAAGACTGCGACGCAATGCACACGCCTGAAGGTAGACTGCGCCGCACTACACACGCTTGAGGGTTGACTGTGCTGCACTAAACACACGCCTGAAAGTAGACTGCGCCGCACTACACACGCCTGAAAGTAGGCTGTGCCGCAATACACACCCCTGGGAGATAAACTGCGCCGCACAACACCACTGATAGATAGACTGTGCCGCACAACACTACTGAAAGGTAGACTGTACCGCACGCAGTTCTCAAGCGACGCACAGTACTGTCATATTAGAAAGGCATCAGGCAATTCCTTGTGGTATCATCAACGCCAGGTGTATGTAGCTAGACATGACCTTACACTTTCCGTATCCTTCGACCTTCACGGTTTTCCAAATGATCCCTCCTTTACTTTGCTCAACATCATTGACGAAACAGACTGCCGTCTTAGCCATCAGCCTTACCTACAGTGAGTACAGTTCAGTAGGTACTGTACTGTACATACAGTAGGTACGTACACTGTACCTACAGTACATACCTACAGTACCTGTAGGTACTGCTATGCACACCTATCCGTGCTTCTATCCTCAAGATACTGAAATCCTTCTCCTCCACGCCGCAACCCCCTCCGGGCTGGACAGGCAACTTTATCTCATGCGGGCTGCTCCCTTGGAGCGGCACCGCTGCTCCTGAGGGAGCGCACCCCGTAGCCGGGTGCAGTGAGTGCCTTGGGGCTGGGTGGCCTGTCCTCTAGACAGGCTCAGCCCCGGCGACTCACTAGGGTGCCTGCCCAGACCAATGTCTCCCCCTAATTCCTATCATCCTTCCGGCTCTGCAATGGTCTTGTCGACCGAAAGGGCCTAACCCAACAAAACAAAACAAACAAAACAAGTACTGCTATGCAGCGAATATTCGAGCCTCCGTAGACCGATCTGGATCAGGGACGCAGTTGGTGAGCTTGGCCTGTCGGCGTAATCCTCCGTGATTTATCCCTCGCATGTGTAGGGGGGGGGGGTCGGATGGACCCCCCCCCCATGGTTTTTCGCGAATAACTCGCGTAAAAAGCGGCTGATCGCGACGAAACTTTCAGTACCCTCACATTGATCAATTTTACACCTACCCTGAAAATTTCATGACCCTGACCCCAATGACCTTTGACCTGTGACCTCTTTTCCGAGACCATGTTTGGCCGGAATCGCGATTCCGCGTATGTCGGCTCGCATTAGCCGCGCGTTTGCAAGCTTTTCGTGGTTTCAAACGTTCAAACATGTGATTTGATGTTGCTCCCATACATTAGGGTGGGTGTCAAGGTCACCTGAAGGTCAGGTCAGGTCATTGACCTTTGGTGACCTCGGTTCACTTTTTCGAGTTTTACATGTTTCTAGGCTAGTTTTTGGAGCTGAATTCGAATTTAGCAACCATTTAAACATTTATGAAGTAGTTTTGGTGACTTCGTAACATGTTACGAAGCTGTCAGAGGCGGTTGACACGTAATACGAATAACTGTCACGACGCCTACTGGTTGACCTGACCTGACCTGACCCGACCTGGTCTAAATGCTTAAAGACATCATCTGTGATCAAAACTAACACGATATTCGTGATCAGCACCCCGAAAAACCCCTTAGCAGCCACACTTTACGACTTTCTAACAGGTCCCGATTTTCCCGACCTTGGGTCATTGACCTGACCTGGAAGGTCAACCAATGACCTAGGACCTTAAAATTTGGTATCATCGGCTTCCTCTCGTCACGGGCAACACGCTCGTTTTTTCCGCGAGGCTCTAGCTTGATCAGGGGCCAAACGGCAAGGGAGGGGTCCAACCGACCCCCCCCCCCCCCCACACACATTAGAAGCTGGCAAACGCCGCACACATGCGAGGGATTTATAATTCGAGCGTGCAGCCGCTTTGTTCCGTAATTCAGAGGTCTGACAAGTATACAAGCGAACATCTTATTATAATCTAAAAAGTAACAATGAATATTCATATTAGATAAGCAAGGCCCAATCTTACCAATGCTGTGAGCGGATTTGGCAGCACTGGCCGAAGTTACCGGCAATGATATAAAATGTGCTCTTTTATTTACGTCGGCCTTATCTCGCCGAATGTGTTTAATGGCGTCAATGTTCATGAATGTTGCCTCATGCCTGAATGAATGAATGAATGTTCAATAATTTTGAACGCTACCAAAGTCCAAATGCCGTGAATGCACATCCACGGCCATTGGTAAGATTGGGCCATAGTTCCATCGTCCCATACCTGTCCCCATGTCCGCAGCCTGTGATTGCGAGCTCACCGTGGGACGCGTGTCATGGTTCTCGGCGATGCGATCACCTCCGCGACCCGCGGTCACTTCCGCCGTCCCATTCCGAGACAATGACGTAGAGGGAGGGAGAAGGCCGGGTGGCGTCTGCACGAGACTGGACTATTAGCACATCCCCAGGAACCCGGCAGTGCGGTAACTCTGACCCTCTCAGCAGCGGCCTGCGGCGTGCCGCCCCAGCGATAAAGTGTGCAGTCAGCGTTTGTTCGCCGATTGTTGGGCGGCGTCGGAGGTGTCGCGGGCGCCGCGCCGACCGCCGCCGACTGACGAAAAACAAACAATGACACGCCCCTCTGAGAATCGGTGACGTCATCAAAACGTCACACCGGCATGCCGTCCTGTCCGTGCGTGTTCCGGTGGGAACGTTTAAAATTCGTCGCTCTCTGTGAATGAAGAGCATGCCTTTGATCTTCCTACGCATAGAATGTGCGTGTAAACAGGCGTCGCTGAGAAGCCATAACGCACGACTAGAGTACATAGGTGCAGGGCCAGATCGAGGAGACATGCCGATAGCGATTAGGCACAATAGGCCCGTACCTTGTTCCATCTTCAGCTGAAGGGTCTGTAGGATGGGTCAGTGTCCAGTGACTCATACCATTGTCACTGTGACGTAAATTAGGTGAGCTAGTGCAGCACTCAGCAATAAAAAATATTGTTGTCAAGATCCTTTGCACTAATATTGTTTTGCAAAGTTGTTTACCTACCTGCTATTTTTAGCTCACGTTGCCCGCTCCACGCTCCTCGGAGCCAGTCTTGGAGCCACATTCTTGTCGCCCGCATTTCTTGGAGCAAGTGACTGTTCGGAAAGAGACGTTTTAAGCATCTCCACCTAGGAGAAAATAAGGGGAAAGCCGCCCACTGGTAGGTAATAGGGATACCGCCCAATGCCCAGTGCTCACTGCTCATCCTCATAAATCGTTCTAGACCGTTGGATTAAAAATCCCTATCATTTGATAAAAATTTCAGTGCGGTCGTTCAGCCAAAGTAAAGCTAAGAGTTGAACATTTATCTGTTTGTGAGGTAAGGTCACTTGACGTGACCCATGGTGACCCGAACTTCGATGACCCGGGGCGTAATTAATGTTAACAAATGTATGATTAGATGTGCCCGAAACGACGGCACTGATTGGAGAGCGCTGAAACTGAAGGCAAAAGAGCAATGGGGGGAGGGATGTGGGGTTAATAAGGTTTTCTCTCGCCATGGGGCGCTGTTCAAAAAGAGCTAGGCACCGTTACTATGATATACCGGCAAATGAATGTCGGAAATGATTTGTCGACGCCAAAAGCGCATGCAGAGAATGAAATTTCCTTCAAAGTCGAAACATAAATCGCTCCTTTATATGAGAATCTTCCTCTCCAGAAGGCTAAGAACATATCATACCATTTCTCACCGGCACATGCCAGGTGATGCCACATGGCACGACATAGCACAATAAACCTACTGTTCCGAACTGAGACTGGTCTGAGCATGTGACTCGGACTATTTTAGTCCACGCCAGCCTGATCTGCTTGCACACACTATCAAAATACACAGTACGAGACCGGCAGGCAGATACAAAACAGCAAACAGCAAAGGGCGCACTCGTACGGAACAGGCGGGCCAAATTAAATTTATATTGTGAGTAAACTAAGTGATGTCTATGACTCTATAGTGGTAGTTATTCCCTCGTTATATCGTTAACTACTTTAAGTCGAAGCTATTTCAATTGGAACACTAAAAGCAATAACACTGCTTACGATGCTTTCATAATCATAACATATCCGCTCATGTGCGATAGACATGGGATACAGCACAATGGCCTGCGGTCATTCATCAGGTCATGTCAGGTCACGAAAGGTCACCAGCAGTTTTTGACAATAACTTTTGATGGAGACAGTGACACGGTAAAGCGATTACAACACCAGAAATGTACTTAGCTCAACAATATGGATCGTTTGATGTGCAGCATGCCGTTGTCGGTCAGATCATAGCCTTCGGAGTTGGCCTTAAATTTTTAAGTTGACAAAGGTCAATTCAAAGTTCATTTGACGGGTTTCATCAAAAGTAAAAAAAAAACGATGTTGGTACGAATGTCATACATTAAATAAGTAGTCCATGCGTGAATAGTACTGAGTATTTCAGCAAAATCCGTCTATTTTGGAGGTCTTCGCCGTCCCAGGAGCGAATATAAATCGTTGACAATCTGAGGACATGTTATCAAAAGAGCTTTGAAAGAGCAATCGAATGCATTTTCCTCGACACCGTGGCTCTTTTGGTTCGCGAGTTTATGCGATTTGTGAAAAATGTCAATCGGGAAGATTTGACGTTTTTATATTTTTTATAACCTCCTGTGATCCCAGCGTTGGCCATAGCGAAAGGTATCGATTGCATTTCATATCTTTTTAGCTCAATAATCGGGCTTGGCCCAACACGCCCCCTCGGGCCTCACCCAACACTGCGAGACTGGCCGAGAACACCGCCCGGCGCGGGTCAATCAAGGTGGGTTCATTGGTCACTGCATGTTAACAATCTTCAGTTATTGATGGCATTGCAAAGATATCTAAGCCTCGTCGTGTCCCCTTTTCAAACGCTTCCGTCGTTTAGTGACACGACCCGAATTACCGGTGTCACGTCCACCCCGTGATGAAAGGTCGCGTTCGTTAAAATCCAGAGGGGACATTTTCAACGCATACATCTCCTGCCAAGGAGAGATAGCTTAAGTCAAATGCTGCCGTAGAACAGACAAAGACACGAGAGGTGGGTCAATTCATTTTCAGTCCCAGGTCAAAAGTCAACGGATAGCAGGGCAAACAGCATTCAAACATGAAACATAATTCAATGAGATCTAAAATACGTGTCACATTTTTAGCGATTCGAGAAACAGAACCGTTTAGAACTTAGAACAGACATAAACGACGCAAGAAAACTACAAATTTAAAATGAGCCGCTTTAAGATGAGCTTGAGCCAACGTTGATTCACGTCGTCAGCGGCACGTAGTGTCGACACTAGCGCAGCCTGGTGGCGACGGTTGTAAACTGTAGCTGACGAGACCCGAAACTGCCGTCGACGCCACCTAGCGGCCGAAGTGGAGCTTCAGATTGGCCTCAGTAGGAACTGTCTACGCTGTGTCCTCGCAGCAGCGACGGTGTCCCAGAGACAGACGGCTCCTGGGCGATGTCAATGATCCACCGAGGGTTCAGCTCCGATCCCGCCCCCTCAGAGCCCCGGCGGACAGAGATGGTGAGGGCCAGGCCGGTCCGCCCGCCCTCCGTCAGCCCCAGAGGCAGCGGCAGTGTGCTGTCTGACCCGGTCGGCGGCCAGGAGAGCGCTCGGTCCGGGGCGGGCGGTCCCACTGGAGGCAGACGGAGCCAGCCGGGCGGCATCTCGGCGCACCAGCCGCCGCTCCAGGTGGCAGAGGTCACGTGGCGCGCGACCTGGGTCAGGTCGGACGGCAGTGAGCGCCGCCAGTCGCCGTCCCGTCGCTGGTAGATGACCGTCCGGCCCCCGGACCACAATAAATCTTGTCGAGTGGGAGAGGGCCATCCTGGCTGTGGACGGTCGCCGATACCAGCCGGAGAGCTGCTAGGACGACCGTCGGAGTCAGACCCCGTGCTGGGGTCGGGGTCGTGATGAGTCGCAGAGTCATCACTCGATCGGCACTCAGAGGTCACACACAGCCGGGAGAGGTCAGCACTGACCCGCGACACGTAGCACGCTGGCCGGTTATCCGCCGGGGTCGCAGGCTGAAGCGCCCGCTCGTGACCACCGTCCCACCCCGCACCACACTCCATACCACGCGACGCGACCAGTCCGGCTGCCGAGCCGACGGCCTGATCAGTAACTGTCCCAGACCGGTGACCCCCGCCGACCTGTCACCGGTCACGTGACCCGACCGGGGTCAGCTCGGCCAGTCAGAGGTCAGATGATAGCTGACTCCTCCCAGTGCTTGTGGCTGGCGGTCTATGCATTCCATCACACACGGACAGTGGACACAGGACACGGTGTTCGCGCAGGACGGGCGGCTCATCACTCAATGGACGCCAGGATAATCACCGGGCACTGGTCACTGTGAGCAGCACCAGTGAGCACTGAGCAGCAGTGAACATGTTTAACAAGTATAGGGCCCGAACAAGACGCTCCCAAATTGATACTTTTCAGTAGCAGACACCGGCCATCAGCATTGCCATGCCCGATGTGACGCATGTTAGTTTCTGCACAGACTAAATCGTCAAACGTCATAAAGTCGGTCGATTCGAAAAGCTGAATCCCACTCGCAACTCCACATGTAATCCACCAGGGAGTGGAGTTCAGACTTCTCAGTGAACATTGTTACTTCCTTGATGCAACTGGTGGCCCACCCAGTCTTGCAACAGGTTTACAAGCGACATGGACAACGGCGTTTCAACGGCATGGACATATTTGTCCGCCCCTTCAGATATCCCACAAACGCTACAAGATTGACGCTACTCGTTTATTTCACCAATGCTCTCTCTCCGGCCAGCAGCTGATCACGCCTGGTTCCAAATCATTGACAACAGGAAATAAATATATAAACATCAGCTTAAAGCTTGCCTAACAAAGAAGACTTTTGGACATCTGAGGAAAAACACGACAGTAGACAGAAAACTTCGCACAAAAATTGATCTAAAAATCAGTGAAAACATCCCGGTTAAAACGGCTGTCTGTGGAAAACGGTGGCCGAAATCATCACATGCTATCCACTTCAGCCTCGCCTCATAATACGCACACCACCAATCCGCTCAGGGCCTCATTCTGCTCACCTCCCGTTAGAAATCATCCAGCACGACGCCCACGCCGAGACCTCTATGTAAAAATGCAGACCCAAATAGTCACCGGGACACGCCTAGGTAACAGTAACAACAGTGCATCAGTTGTTTTTAATCTATCACGTTGCCGACGCCGGCATGATGTGCTCTATACTGGAGACGCGGCGCGTACACCGACCCGCCTCGCCTCTGTGACGGCAGTGGACTGAATTTGTACCCTTCAGGTTTTGTTAACTTAATGAGGATCACTTTGCGCGTGACTGCAAACGGGCCGAGGCAATGGCGCACGATCTATGCAACGGAGCATGCGAAGCCAAACGATTCCATGCACAAACTGCGGGCCACAAAACCATGTGTCGCCGATGGCGCGGTACGAGCAGCAAGCCGTCCGCAAACTTAAAAACCGACCCAATATCAGTTCGGTGCGCGCGCGCGCGAGGGGAGCACCGTCGGAATAATGCCACCGGATCACAAATCACTGGTGTGGCACCACTGAGCACCGCGGCACCAAAACGGCACCACACAACGCACCGACGCCCAAAACCGCGCCGCGTCACATGCACACCATCGCGCCCACTCATACGGTCACTTCCCAGTCCCCGCACACACACACACACACACGCACACAAACAGCGCGACATCGGCGGCAGCAGCTAAAACACACACCACGATCGATCTAAAATGACTGGGGAGCTTGGCAAGCCGCGGTCGCGACGGGGCGCCGGCCCACGGACGGCTCCGGCGGAGACACCGGGGCGGCCCACCACTCCGGGAGACCAGTCTTTAAAAACGCAGCGGTACCTAGCGGCAGCGGCAGCACACGGCAACTTGCCGGGCGAGCGCCCCTCCCCTCCCGAAGCAGTCCCTAGCGCGGCGGGGTGGGCGGCATCAAAACGAAAAGTCGAACAGCTCGCAGGCGCCCTCGGAGAGGTCCAGGCCGAAGCTGTAGTCGGACTCTGACGGCAGCGGCTCCAGCGGGAGGAACGCCTCGCCCGAAATGGACGGCTCCAAATCGCCCGTGCCTGCAAACACGTTAGGGAAGAGTCAGCGGCGAGCGGTGTCACTGGGAACCGCGGTGCAGACACACTAGCACAGCGCACTTATCGGCAGTCCATGAGACGGCCGTTATTGCGACGACGGGAAAAAACATTTCAAAACCACAAGTTATGGTTGTCGCCTAACAATAAGAGCGATGAATCTCAGAAAATATGTCGCAGCTTTAGTAACACTAGAACGCGAGATTCAATAGTAAGTCTTCGACGTCTCGCCAGATCTTGCGCTCAGCGATGACAGCATGCGGCCCGCGGCAGCAATTTCGTCACTACTTCGCTGAATCCCGTGGTGCTATGGCTCAAGACCGCACAGCACCGCGACATCCAGCGAAGCAGTCACGACAGGCGGGTGGGCCCCCGGCGGACTCTACACAATTCTCCGACGGAGCCACATCTATTTGACACACTTGGCACACAGCGGATTGTCGGAGGCTAAAATTAAAACAACCACACAACCACCGCACAACCCATCTATTTAACACAATCACCGTGAGGTAGCCTATCACCGGAGACTGAGGCGTCTCGCTGTGTCCCGACACCGGCCGCGTGAAACAAATCCTGTGATATGTCTGGTAACAGCAGATCACAAGGAGAGTTTCAGGCGGCACGCGCCGGTCGAGGAGGCGTCGCGGGGGCCGGCGGTGTCCGTCCGTCCGCCCACACAGTACTACCTCTGTGATATGACCTCAGAGCAGCACATCACAAAGGTAGAACCGTGAGGGAGAACGGACCAATGGCCGAGGTGGCGAGTACCTGCATCAACCGCGGTAAACGATCAACACCGGTGTGGCTAGATGTGTGCAACAGATAGCAACGTAAAACGAACAGCCGCGTTCTCCTAATGTCAACAGACAGCGTAAAGATGAAAATGAGAAAGCACAACACTGATCGCATTGTGAAAAGGCAAAAAAAAAAACGCGAGATGACGTCAAATGATCCGCACTACCCTTTACGGACCTAGCGCCGACCCTCCCCGCAACCAAACAACCATCCCCGAACCCTCGCGGTTCCTCAGGGTCACAGGTCCGGCGCCGGCGGGTGGATACTGACCGAGGAAGGGCGGCCGGTCGGCGTCCACCAGCGGGTACTCGGCCTTGAGCGGCGACTGGTCCGGCAGCGAGCAGAAGCTGGTGGACAGCATCATCGAGTCGTCGGCGTGCGAGGTGGACGCCGACTCGTCCTGGCACAGGAACAGCTGGATCTCGTCCGTCTCCGAGTGCAGGTGGATCTGGTACACGCCCTCCTGCCGGCGGACAGAGGCGGACGGTCAGACGGACGGTCAAACAGCCCGACAGACAGTAACCGGCGAGGTGCTGGAAACAATGATAAATAGCTTCAAACGCTACAAAAGCACACACCCAAGTAGCCAACCGACGATGGGTTGGCGTCAAGAACAAATGATTATGAAAGCATATCCGCATATAGTCCAATCAAAATGACGCGAACCACACCCTAGCCACAAAGCAGATGCCGGTCTATAAGTTAAAACTACGTCAGTATTCTGGTGAAACCTAGCGAGCGGCGGCTGTGCCACGCACCTCGGCCGGGTCGGGGACGCGCAGCTTGGTCTCCGGCGGCGCCTTGATGGCCACCACCGTGTCGTTTTTGAACTGGGGGATGCTGCGCAGGTCCTGGTAGCGGATGTACGCCTCGCGCCGGTCGTCGTTGAGCTGGCGCAGCTGCACGCCGGCCTGCTCGATGAGCCGGTCGAGGCGGCGCTCCTCGTGCTCCAGACTGCGCAGCTGGGAGTCGTCCGGCAGCGCGGCGGCCGGCGCCGGCGCACGCAGCTCGTCCAGGTCGGAAGAGGCGGCCGTCACGCGGATCTTGTTCTTGGACTCCTTCTCGATGAGACCGATGCCCTCCAGCACGTTGGTGATGTCATACAAGCGACGTTTCTGTACGGCGGAAGTAAGTGATGAATAAAATATATAGACGTCATTACGTGATTTGTCTCGATTCGATAACTTCATGAGATGCACACACCCGCCCTACCCGCCGATAGATTACATTGGGATTAATCACAACGAGTATCGACTATTTCCAAACAGTGTCAATCATACCTGCACTTGCAGGACGATGGTGGCATGGTTGAGATCCACCACCCCGTCCTCTGCGCTGCGCAGAATCTGGAAGAACTTCTTGGTGAGAAGGCCGAGGGAAGTGTCGTAGCGCGACTTTGAAGACGGAGAGAAACAGGGAGCTGGAACTGAACAGCAGAGAACGCTGCTATTAGACAATGGCTCAGCAAGGGCGCAGATAGTCGGTCAATAGACAAGTTTGAAAACATACTGAGTGTAGTTTGGTCACACCATCAAAGCGAATCTAAGATCATTAAACCAAATCTAAGAAGCTCAGGACAAATGCACTGACAACCGGGAAGACAAAAAGTAATTGGAATGAATCACTATTGCGACAAACAGGTCAGACTTATTCACTACTGCAACTTGATTTATAAATTTGTTACAGAATTGATGGCATATTCAAACTGGTCTTGCAAGTCACAGGATTGCAACTGTTCTTTCAAAGGATCGGATGGCAAATCTGTATGGCGCTTCTATTCCACAGCTGTGCGATTTCAATCCCCAATGATTGACTAGCGTCGCACTATAATTCGAAAGCCACGCTGGAAAGCATATAAATAGCTGAGACGTTCAATCGCTGAACAAGCCCCAAAACCCTACCGTAACTTCGTTCGCCGCTAAGAGGCAAACCGTCTTCAAAAGTAACACGCTCACGTGTTCATATAACAATGAAAGGGGACACCATCACACAAATAAACTTTCAGTGAAACAGCCAATGGATGAACCACGGTTCAAGAGCCTGAACAATTCATGTTCAATTTTGTGAGACGTTGGTAAAATAAACCCCACAAACTTGGCACTCCTGTCAAAGTTATAGCAATAAATTTGCTTACAGGTAATTCAGTTTCAATGCCTATATCAGGCTATATTGATTACCTAATTCCATAATGGTGAGGACAGCATTGAGAGAACAAGTAAAATTCATATCATAAACTATGCCCACTCACCAACTTTTGATGGACTTGGAGATGGATACTCCTCAGAGTACGTTCGCACCCGGTGCTTTGGTGTCTTGCTGGGTGTTTTAAATATATGCTCTGATTGGGGCAAGTCTAGATTCAACCTCCGTTTTACAGCCTGCAATAAAAATGCATTGTCCTTAGCAATTGAGAATGCTATTTAACCATTTCATGACAAGTAACACAAGCTCAAGCTAACAAGGGTCAAACTGAGTTGTTCATAACTTGTTTAAGCACATTGCAAATTATGGGAGCCTTAGTTTAGTTTAACTTATGAGAAACTGATCATCGAGTTGAGCAGCACATCTATCATACCTAGCCAGCACAACATGCTACATGATACTGCTGCATAATAAATAACTCTGAAGAACCCACCTTAGGATTTGTGATGAATGTCTGTGGCTGATGAACAGGCGTGGAGTGGGTCATGGTATACTGGTGATCCTCAAAATCTGATGGCTCATCAACAAATTCAATATCAATGAAATCAAGGTCCATTTCTTTGGCTTCATCATGATGTGCTATCTCAGGCGCAAATCCAGATGTGCTGGCCATCAGGGGGCTGAAATAAAAGTACACACAGTGAGAAACAATTCTGGATTAAGTGGTACCCATTGCCAGCCCCTTGAGTTGGTTGAAACCTGAATTATGTTCATTACCTACTACGATGGATAAAAATAGCATTTTGTTTAGATTGAATACCATTAATTTCGGTGAGAATGAAAAAATGACAGGAATAACTCAAAGCATCCCAAACAAGCAAATAGGTATTTTAAAGGGACCCTCCCACCTTCAAAAAAGTTAATGAATTGGCATGAAAGTGATGTCGCTCAGTTCAGAGAGAGCAAAAACGAATATCTACCAAATTTCATCGAAAAATATTCACCGATTTTCAAGATATTAGACTTTTACTTTTGTTTACTTTTTGGGATCTCCGCTGTTCCTAGCGACTTTATTTGAAAGTGCGGCATTTGTTGCGCGCAAAGCAGCATATACCACCGCGTGCTACCAAACGTTTTAGTAAAAGATTTAAAATCGTTAGATCTCCGCTGACGTCACAAATTCTAAGGGGGCATACCAATGCATTAGCCCCTTAGAATCCGAAAACTGCAAGTTTGAAATTCGATATCTCCGAATTAAAGCATTTTTCGATGTTGTGAGTGCCCAAACCGGTATTTTCAGGCCATGGCCACCAATTTGGCTATCTCAACTCAAATCTAATGTTAAGGTGGGAGGGTCCCTTTAATATGGATGAATGTTTTTCCCCAAATAGGTAATGCAAAATCAATTATTAATTGTAATGTTCAATGCATCATTTAAATCATCTTACTTACAAAGCTGCATTGGAACTGCAACATGGTAACTGCTGTTCTCCAAAGCAATGCTAAAAATACTTTGTTAACTACATTATCTCTTGCCAGAGTGCCAATTTTGTCATTTCAAATTGATTTGAAAACTGCTATTCCATTGAATGTTGAAGCTAAAATGAAAAAAAAAATCAGTGGACAGTGGGTAGGTGTTAATTTGCATCACTTAATATTTGATCAATTTCACTTGACTTTAGATAAAAAGCAGAAAAAATTTTGGTAGTAGGTACCTACCAAAAATCAATTCCTTACTAATGGTCAGCAAGCTTCCTTCAAAGTGCATCTGCAGATGTTTAGTGGGTGTGTGTTTAGGTTGGGTTGGGTAAGACTTGGTAAGGCAAATGATGGTTGAGCTTCCATATGTTTATAGAGGCTACTAGATTGCAAATCTCAAGTAATTTGATACCTTTGTGTAGGTATATTTATAATTCCATGCAGCATTTCTCTGATAATGCCACATTGTTATATTAACTGGAAAATAAAATGCAACAGCACTTCAATTAAACCTAACCTAACCAGTAACCTTGTCTTACCAACTAACCTAACCTGATCTTTTGCTTTGCAGTGAGTAGGTTGGGCAGGGCACAAGCAAGACTGGGTTAAGTTGACTTACTGCTGCTGAGTAGAATACTGCTAGCTATAATAAAATAAGGTTACATTTTAGTTTCAGTGCTTCAACTGTTAAATGTTCAAGATACTTGACACTATCATTTTGTTATTTCTGAAACATCTGGAAAGTAATACCAGTTGGTTTATTATTGGTGTGCCCCTGCCCCCTGGTGCCACTTGCACCTTTGCAGCAACAACTAAAAACAAAACTTAACTTCACTGGAACTGAGGTGCTAAAGTGAGGTGTGCAAGGCTGGGGTTAGCTATAAAGTATGTCTAGTAAGGACACTGAGAAAGTTATGGTTGATGGAAAATATTCCAGTAAGGTAGGTACTTCTCCCAATGTCATCTTCCAGTAAAGTACCTCTATAGGTGATATACATTATGAAGGTGCTTAGTAGCTGGTGTCTGAAATGCACAAAGCTATGTGAGACCACTGAAGATAATAAGTTTTGGTTATTTTGTTTTGTAATTTTAACTTTTGATATCCTGAATCCAAATATGATACCTACATGTGGAACACAAGAAAAAAATATACAAACCTGACCTTACCTTATCTACTAGCCCACAGCCTAAAACCTACAACCTAACACAACCTAAAACCTAAAAACCTACAACCTTCCACCTACAATTTGTTTTTGTATTTCTGTATCAACTGCGCCACAATTGTAGATCAGACCTTTTCTGAACAAATGCCTGCTGGTTAATGAAGTTAGTTTAGGTCAATTTTAACTGTTTTTTTCAACCTTACAGATTTTACATTACAATTTTTAGATGCTTTGGTTTACCATTTGCTGTGAATCAAACATTTGCAGCACGTTTAATAAAATAAAACCTATTAACCTATTACCTAACCAGCTGCCTACTATCCATAATAGGTGTCTTCTGTATAGTTTTGTAAGGCTGGCACTCCCTTGTGTATGGGGTTCTTAAATTCCTCTTCTGACTCTCCTATCTCTATCCTACTGGACATTGTTGGAACCCAACCAGGTAAGTGAACCAGGTAAGTAAGTATTTAAGAATACCTCCTTCACACCTACATGACAAAACCTACCTACCTACCTCACACCATACTACACCTAACACTAGGCAATGTAGGTATCTTACTGGAAAACTACAAGTTCATGCTACCTAAATAGCTTTGGGTGCACTATGAAGAACATGACAATTTCTCGACCTTCCATGCCATTTGCATTACGCACATAAAGTTAATACTGCACTTCAAAATGCAAATTTGACCTGTTGGACAAAGAAAGTGTCATAAATCACATGCAATCAAAAAATCTTATACATTATGCATGAAGGAAGATCAATTTGAAATCAAACAACACATTAACGATTTAGATATTATCGCGCCAATATCGCCACAACAGACCAAAGCCAGCTGTCTCAGCACAATCAATTACCAGGCATTGATTGGTGAGCAGGCAATAATCTCGAGCGAAAATCAAACACTGACCTACAAAGCTATTAATTCAAAAGACGAACCGAAAGAAAAATGATGATCCACGGCGGCGTCGGCGTCGCGGCCGCGGCGTGACAGTCGGCTCCAAGGATTACTTCAACTTCAGCTTCTCGTAAAACGGCATTCGGCCAATAGATATTTACCAAATAAAATGTTTACTAATGTTTCTTTATATCAATAAATGGCAAATAAAAAGTGCTACGCCGGTCAGCATCAAATCCTCGACGATAATCACGAACACCCGACGCCGCGGCCAAGAGACGCTCGCTTTCTTCCGTTGTAAACAATAAATGGCGCGAAATCAAACGACGAGAACATGGCGGAGGCGATGGCGGTCCCAAACCGCGCATCCTCAAAAGAAAGGCGTCCTGAATTACAGGTTAGGCAGAACTATCATTGAAAATGCATAAAAATCAATATAAAATGTTATGTTTCTTCGTATTTTAGCAAAGATTACTGCTATTTTGATGATTAATTTTTAGTAACTTACAGCAAAGCTTACGATGCGCGGAGGACGGAAGTGCTATTGTTCCTTTTGGCGGGAATATTGATGAAGGAAAATGAAGGAAAACTGATGGTGGTGCAGAAATATTTGTGTGCATGGCAGTTAGGTAATCTTGGCAGTTAGCACCTAAGATACAAACGATAGAGAAATAATCATAACATTTTCATTCATTTTTGTCCTTGTTCGAACAAATCCACAATATGCATGACCCTATGCATGACCCCAAGGCCCTATATAGATTCAAACAACGTTAGGTTAACTGCATTCTTTTGAAACTTGAATAGTTTAAAACGTTTGTTAAGAATTTAATGAATATTTCTATTTTTTCAAACTAAACGAAGCCAAAAATGAATCCATGGATTTTTTTCAATTCCTTTAGTTGGAGAAGGCGCTTTACTTTTACTACCTATAATTTTGAAGCTAAAATACTACCCATTTCTGACTATTTTGTGCCTCAAACATTTAAAATTGATAATCCGCTATTCATAAGTTGCGTATCAAATAGTTCAAATGCTTATTTTCTCTCTTATTGCTTCAAATACTTGTTGCTTTGAATTTTGCAGTGTTTTTTGAGAATATACTTCCATATTGTAGGCAAATCTGGCGCATCAGGAAAGAATGACTCTTTTAGAATTTATTGATAAAGAAATGACGTCATTAACATTTTTTCCACCAGTCATTGACTCTTGTGTTCAATAAATGACGTCTTTACGAGAAATTATCAAAGAGAAAAATATTTCTACATAAACGTTTTGTTGAAAGCCGGCATTTCGCGTTCAACGTGTGTGCCTATCCCAGTCGGGCGCACTATGGTATCGGCAGTCCATTTATAGAAACGTTTCTATTTTTGGAAGAAAGTTCCAAAAATGGAAACGCTAAAAACCAACTGTTCCAATAATGGAAACGCTCCGTTTCTATTTTCGGAAACGCAAGGAGCACATAAACCTGTTCGGTAGTTTCCGCAACAAACCATAGATTTCCGCATCAAACAAAGGCCACCAATCAAAAGACCGCATTTCGCTTCATAATTCCAACGTTGAACAGAAAAATCGGCTGTTGAACAGGCTTGCACGGTCCACTTCCTTTTGTAAACACGGTATCTACAATATTCTCAGGATCACATCAGATCTCAATGAGGGCCAGCATGTGACCCTTCTTTGGGTTCCAGGTCATTACGGTATTGCAGGAAATGAACGTGCGGATGTCCTCGCAAAGGAGGCTGCAATGCGACCTGATCCAGTTGTGGAACCTATGGCCCAAGGGGACGCTATTCATATGATAAAAATCAAATTCGCCGAGTACCTTCAACGCAATTGGGACCAACATCATGCTGCACATATGTATGCGATCAAACGAGAACTTAGAACATGGGTCACATGTAACCAACCAGACAGGATACGCGAGGTGACCCTGGCCAGATTGAGGTGTGGTCATACTCGCCTCACCCATGGCCACCTTTTTGATAGGACGGGCCCTCCGATTTGCCACACCTGCGACACACGCATCTCCGTAGAGCACATTTTGATCGCATGCACGGCATTGCATCACGAACGAAGACACATCACTAACTATCTTGCGGTACAACACCTTAAAAACGACCTCCCGACGCTTCTCGGGGACGACACAACATTGACAAACCTGGTACTTGATTTCGTCCTAACATCACCCTACTCAGAGCTACTTTAACGGCCTTGACTGTTAGCAGGCGCCCGTTTCGCTACCACCAGGCTGACTTGTGATACGGGATGGGTCGGGTTTTTCGCTGGTGCTGAAACACAGAGCTTCGGTGGCAGACGGGTTTTCTCCTGCCGCTGGAGCAGGCTTAGAGGCTCAGCGGCCCAGCGAGCTACACCAGCGGACCCCGGCCGCTGAACAGCGGCGGCGGCCGGGTTGAACGACCACAGACAACCGTCGGCCGCCAACTGCAGCAGCGACAGATTCCCCATCCTCCAAACCATTCCTTTCATCGTGACGCTTAAACATTCACAAACCCCATCCCTCCCAGCGACATATCCCCCACTCTTCAAACCATTCCTGTCATCAAACTCTCGTAACCTTACCATTCACAAACTTCCTCCTTCCCTCCCTTCACAAACATCAATTTACCGGTAAGTTTCACTGTCATTTATGTGTCTTAACGTAAATTCATGGGTTTTTTCCCATATTCATGGCATAGTACATGGATATGGGTTTTCCCATGTTGTCTTGCTGTAAAAGTGGCCACCGGTCTTAGTTAGGACGGCCGGTTTGTTTTGCGCGGCGTAGTTAGGTCGCCGCCCTCCTCGCGAGGCCGGTAACGTAAGTTAGGGCCACTAAAAAAAAAAAAAAAAAAAAAAAAAAAAAAAAAATAGATTTTTTCATGATAGGTGAACTTTAATGTGTCATTAATGAAATATACCTCATTTTTTTGTGGAAAAATTTGATTTTCACAAGAATGGCAATTTTTTAATTGACAGACTTGGTGTCTGGTATTCATTAATATCCTACATTGCTGTAAAGCAAGCCCTGAATGGCGTGTTGGTGACCACGTGCGGAGATCGTCTCTCCGGCTTTAGAAGGCGGTAAGTTGGAAAATATTTCGTACAGATGCTTCTAAGTGGGCAAACTGAACTTCTTAGCACCCATTTAACTTACGAATGTGTGAAAGTTGGTAGAATGTATGTAAATAATTGCATTAAAGGTCTGATATGTTACTGCTTGTCGGAAGCGATCCAAGCTGTCGTCCAGTTTTAAACGATTCAATTATATGAAAAAGCGATGACAAGGTGTTATAAACAATTTCTATGGATAGGGAAATGCTCAAACTGTACTAATTGCCCACTTTGCACCGTATTAGTTCAGTAGGCCTTCAGTTAGTGCCTGTGTAAGGCCCATTGAGTAATGCTTTATGAAGCACAGTTTCCATTTTTGGAACAAATGACGAATTTTAACTCAAGTTGTACATACAGCTCACAGATGCAGTAGGTTATATGTATTTCAACTCTTATTTGCATTTAATGTTTTTGGAAGCACTTTCTGCCTTTCTCATTTCTAATAATCCACGAGAAGGTTGGAAAAGGTGCATGCTCCGACAGCATGAAATGCGAACCGGAGCTTCTGAACCGGCCTGATAAGGCCGAAGTTTAACTCCAACCTTACTTATAAAGCCTTGCTTTTCTTGGGAAGCCAGAGTCTGTTAACCACAATTCAGGGCACATTGCGACGCTTACTGCAGTCACGCATGCATGCTTGCAACAGTTAAAATATGTTATAATGTGGGTTTCGTAAGCAGTAGCAGCTTAGTAGGCAAGACGGTTTGACAGTTCTGGGGTTTATGAAGGTGCCTAGAAATTGGGGACTTTCCCCAGAAGACACATTTTCGTAAGCATTATTGTACCAATATCGGCTTTCGGGCACTATGCCCAAGCAATTGGAGGACCATTCATACGAAATTTAGATGCAAAGGGAAATCACCCATATCTGAACATGTACCGGCAATCGGCATCAATAACTCGGCAATTACTTAAGAGGGCGTGGGGTAGACAGGCCCACATATCAATAATATGGTGCTTACGCCTTTTCCTGTGTTGGCTCATAGTTTCCATTTTTGGAACCTTCCGTTTCCAAAAATGGAACGTTGACAAGGGTTTGCGTCAGGGCATCAGATTCGCCATTTGCGTACGAAAATATTGTTGGATTTTACTGTTTTGGGAGAAAACATATCGACGAAAAGACACGCCAGCTGAAAAGATTACTATTAACTTAAGAAATACAGAAATATGCCTGAAATATGCCTGCTTAAAAATTGGCGTTTCTAATTTTGGAACTGGCGTTTCCATAAATGGAACAAAGTGCCTTCCAAATTTGGAAACGTTTCCTTTAATAGATACGTATCCATAAATGGACTGCCGATACCATAGTGCGCCCGACTGATCCTCTTTTTCTGAAACGTTGTTTTTGCATATTGGCTATTGCCTGCTATGATTTTTGTGATTTTGTAATTTATTTTGTTGGGCGCAAGAGCCAAGCCAAGACAGTATATACTAAGGTTTGTATATACCCAGCTGCTACGCGCCTTAACCCAAACAACTGATTTATTTTCATATACCTACCTACCTACTGTTCAGTGTTCACGTAAGGTGGGTAGTTACAGTTGAAGAATGAACGTTAAATAATTATATAGGTCATACTTAACAGTTGCACTGTTGCCACCAACCAGGACACATTTTATATAGCGTGTGTTAGGCATCCGAATGAGGGATAATTATCCGGGATCACCTGTAATAATTTGATATTGCAGGGACTGTCGGTGCAATTAGTCCCATTTTTAGACTGCTTTTGCTTCCCTAATGGCTCTTTAACTTGTTGTCATGTTCGTTGTGCATGTTTTCAGCCTAAAACACCGAATGATCCTGGTGATCCCGGAAAATTATCCCTGATTATCTGGATGCCAAATGCACACATTGTTAGATTCTGGTCATAGTTTCGACATTGGTAGAGCAGACGTCACACGAAGGTTTTCCAATCAAGGAGAGGCGCTGTAGGTTTGTAGGTTGTAAGGTAGGTCAAGCCATTTGAGCTGTTCAGATTTTTCTATAAAAGTGCATGCTAATTAATCCACTTGATAAATATAGCACTCAGCTTGAAGGCACAAGGTGTGAATTTCTCAGCCTGTGATTTGATGCCTTTCCAATTAAAATGTTGCATCTAACCTGCTCCCAGTGAACTATAGTCTACACAGCAGCAGCTGAACTCTCCACAACAGAGGGAGACAGGGAGGGGAGTTCAGGCTATCAAGACAAGAGCATGATCACCATGCACCTCAGAGAAATGTTCCTGGCAAAGCAGCTTGCTGGCATGCTTAGGTGTTTTGTTGGCATAGCAGACATGACTGGAGAGTGATCGTGGATGTGTATGTTGCTTTGATTGCTGTTACAGCTTTGCAGTATTCTGCAGTGCGCACTGGTTATCTGCTTGTTTTTTTTTTTGGAAGGGAAACATAATGTGCAGATGCAAAGGAGACTTTTTGATGAAAATGCTTAACCTGGCTAATAAAGCTTAATAAATCCTAAACCCTATGTCAGTAGGCTTGATTTATTAGGGAGATTCTAATGTACCTATGTTCAATTTTTTGTACACTTCTTTTTGTGCTTGAATGTTTTGAAGTCCATTGTTGTGAGTTGTGACATTATGTATTGAGTTGTTGCTAGTGCCTGTATCATTCTAGGTCACAGACCATCATATTAGTTTTTGATTTCAGCAATATACACAAGTGTACTGTGTAATGCATACTTTACAACAATTGAACTTGTGTACACAACCATCTAATGTTATTAAGTATGATTTCAGGCATCAGGAACACGACTAGTGCATCATACACCCTCCAGACTTAATGAAACCACCCAGAACAAGAGGTTGTAGTTTTCCAGTATGTAAAATGCACTTTGATAAAAATAATTGATACCATACCAATTTCGATTAGATTGTCAGCAAGCAGTTAGGTCTGGAATGCATCATCATCAACAGTAGGGCATAAGCACTTGCATGCTGTCAGCAGCTGTATGCAATTTAGCCTTGTTTATTACTGAATGATTGCCATTGATATAGTGAATGCTAGATTATCATCTTAGCTGGATTTAGGAGGAAGAACACACTGTGTTCTGTGTTCAACACAGAGAGAAAGAAACAGTCACAACAATCCCAATGTTTAGACCACAAGCCACCTAGATGAAGCTTGCAAGCTGCAGGTCAAAAACAGTGATTAACACTGAGGTCAGATTCTCTGATCAGAAATGGTCCGACAGTGACTTGTGGAGAACCCTGATGCCTGAGCTGGTGTGCATTTGTTACCCAAACTGACTCATTGAGGCTCATTGACTAATGCTTGACTGTGTTGCTATGTTTTGCTATCTGGTCTCCTGTGACCTTAGTATTGACCTGGAGAAAAATTCCAGTCATACATTAGAGTACTCATTTATAGCTATTTATTTTTATGACTTGTTTTCCTTCCCTGTTTCCTAGATACCCAGGGGTGGCCAGTAACCAATAACCAATAACCAATATCATGGCTAATAACAACCCTTCTCCCAACTTCATGTTTAAGCTAACTGATTCGGAGACCTTCAGCCAGGTGTGGGCTGAGATTTTGGTGTGCATATTATATTATGTATATCTGGACTTCTGTTTCAGGAAAGCTGATACACAGCAACTGATGCTCTGCCTCACCATGGATGTCACTGAAAGACAGGTGAGGTCACCCGTCGGCGTCACCAGTTACTTGATTGATAGGAACCAGGTGTACAACATCCTTGATAGATATCCAAAGGAAGGGTATTGATGTAGTAATTCATATAAAGCTCATGTGCAATTTTTTAACATGAATTAAAAAATGTGCCATTTTAAAATGAATTGAGCAGGAGATTGAATACAAGATGGACCATTGAAGATGGAATGGATGAATTAGAGAATGGACTGCTTGTCAGAGCGTGTTGCAGTTCCTGGCGCTGACATCCTGATTCCTATTTGTTTCAGATGTGTCCTCGCTGCTCGGTGCCGGGCGGAGAGCAGCACCCAATGAAGAGACTGAAAATAAACTTCACAGAGTCTGTGGATATGTGTCCCAACCAAAAGGTATGCTAGTTCGTAAATCACGATCATAAACGCCTGTATTTCTTGGTAACAACCGTGACTGTTCCATGGTACATTTCATTTAATATATTATCTAGACTGTTTGTGGTACTTGGTAGGAAAAGTTAAAGCTGAATAGTCATGGTGTATTTTCTCTGGATACCTTAATTTTACCATTTTTGCGATCTTTCTAACTGATATCGAAGGTATTGCGTGGTGCAGCTAAGACTCAATGATGTTTGCTCCCGGTTGTCCTGTCTGCTATCGACGATGACTGCTGCTGGACTCACGTCACCCTGTGGCTGTGTTTCAGTGTTTGTGGGTGCGGCTGGTGTGTACGGACGCCGGCGCCGACGGACAGGTCCCCCTGCCGGGAGGACTCTCCTCTCTACCGGGTGCCGGTGAGTGAATCGTCTGAATGTGCCCCGCTGTAGTGGAGCTGTTTGCTCGTGACTAGAATTTGTCACTTAGCGGGACTGCCAAGTTGCTGATGTACCTCCTGATATAAATCGTTTGTAAAATGCTTAATGAAATTGATAATGCTATCAATAATGGCAACTTGCCAATGGGTACGTAATTATCAATGTAAATGTCATATTTTGACGCTTTAGTTAAGCTGCCAGCCATGCTCATAAACATATGTCGTTATTACATGAGACGGGCTAGCAGACGACTGACCGCCGTTCTGTTCTCCCGGACAGGCGGTGTCGATTACATGGACGATCTGGACGTGCTGCTGAACGAGCCGTCCGACTCGGGGGTGGACGTGGACGGCAGCGACCGCAGCGTGGCCAGCTGGGAGCCGGCCGCCTCCGAGGCCGGCTCGCTGAGCAGCGAGCTGGCTGCCGTGGCGCTCTCCTCCGTGCCGTCGGCGGCGGTCTCAGAGCCGGGCCGGTGGCGGCCCGTCAGCGCGCCCGGCCGAGCGCCGTCTACCGCCGGCTCGCTGCTGACAGAGACGCGCAGCGAGCCGGACCCGGCCGCGCTCAGGAGGATGGCCAGGCACGGCCGACAGACCGAGCCGCGCCCACTCTCCGGTCTGAGCCTCTCCAACTTCGGCGACAAGGAGACGCGACCGGAAAACTGGGTGGAGAAACCAAAGCCAACGTAAGTCGACAGGGGAGCAATGTTTTGGCCGCGTTGTAGTTGAGATCTTTCAGTCTTTGTAGAATTGCTTTTATTGTCGACTATTGCAAATTACGAGTTCGGAATGTAAACGCAAAGCGGCGGTGTGTCGCACGGCGATCGGCTGTCGAAAAACCGCGTAGGTCGAAGTTTCGCTTGTATAGCGAAGACTGTATTAATTTGGCTTGATTAGTTCTCAGTAGCTAATTGACCCCACAAATGTCCACCCTCTGCTGTGACTCGCTGCATTAACTCGCCCTGGCTTTGTCTGTAGGATGCCACCTAGTACACGCCGGCGCGCCGGGGCCCCCTCCGAGACAGGTTTGTTTAGCTCGCCGTCGGGCCGCGCCGTGTTCCGTCGTCCGGCGCTGCCGGCCTGGGAGCGCGCCGCTCTGCGTCAGACTGTGGCCGGGTCGGACCCGTGGGCTCTGCTCTCCGGCTGGGACGGCGCCGCGCGCAGCCGGCGCCTCAGCGCAGGTGAGTCGGCCGCCCCCGCCGACACGGCTGATAGCGCGCGCACTGTGCGGACCAGCGCCGCTCAGCGGCCGCCGGACGATCGTAATTTACATAAACATATCTCTTTGGAGTTTGATTTTGTTTTATTATTGAACGCAAATTATAAGATTATAAAGTATTCTAAAGTTTTCAATGCTGGAGCAAAAAGATATTGATCGTCGTAAAAATTAAGTTGCTATCTCGCATACATTTTCTTGCTAAATAATATTTCATGTTCTTATAGCTTGATTTCCACAAACCTGACCTTTTATTATAACAATGTGTGCACGAAAGGCTCGATAACAGCAGTGCGTTGGTCATGGTATGCCGCTTTGCACGGCGTTTGTAGACCAACAGCTGTTGTATTTTGACCTAATCCGTCCGGACGCAGATTCAGCCGTGTCGCGCCGGGACAGAGTGGAGACGAGTCTCCGCTCGGCGGGCCTTGTGGCTCTCTAATCGATACCGATCGTAGCTCGGCATCGGCAACCTACTTTCAGTTTTCACTAGTGAAAATACATTTACCGGCTTACCGGTGCTTGCCAGCTCGAAGTAGTCAGTCGGGCTGAACGTAGAGACACGCTCAATCAGTCGGTCACTTCAAGAAACATCTATCGGCGTCTTCTGCACGGTTTGTACTCATCAGATGCCAAATGAGCCCGAAAAGAACAGATACTACACTTTGCGGCCAAGGCGAATGATGATACAAAGCGAGCAAGGATGCATCAAAATTTTCTAATTTTAGGTGTCATATTTTCGGAAACGTGAACGAAAACGAGTGCCGATCTAAATTTATTCTGGTTTGTGATGCTACCGTTCAAATACGTCTCATACGGCGTTCACGCATCCACCACCGTCTCCCACCGTCTCCCTTTGTCATCCACCGTCTCCGTCGTCGAATTCGCTACTGTCGTCATCTTGAATCCAGTTTTGAGATTTTTGAAGCATTAGAATGTATGCTTTTTGACATTGTGCTATTTTAGACTTTAATCGTGCGAGTACACGAATAGTTGCCCAGAAGTAAATCGACTTGGTCATTGGTATGAATATAACAGAAGTGATCGTCAATAAGACCTTTTTTAAATAACGTTTAGCCCCCTCCCCCTCCTTTAAAATAGGTGCTTTTCGATAAAGCTGTACTGCGACTAACTAGCACATTCGTGTCGGCAGCCGCCAAAAAACTGAAGCGGGCTGAACGGATGGAGGAGGCAGCGCGCAAAGTAGCCGCACCAGCCAGGAGCCCGGTGTCTCCCAGCTCCACCATCACTGCCATCGCTGGACCTTCAGCGGCGGCGCCCGCTCTGCCCGTCGCCTCCTCCAGCCGTACCGCCGCCGGCGCGGCCCCCGTGCCCGCCGGAGCCCCGACCGCGGCAGGCGCCAGTGCTCCCGGCCCTCGGACTGCCGAAGGCGCGGCCACTCCACGATCTAACCTCCACTGTCCAGCGCGCACTGATCGGAACGGCTCCGCCGCCGTAAAGGACACAGCCTCGCGGATGAACACCATGCTGGCCGCGCCAGAACTGTACAAACGACTCTGCACCACCTTCAACACCGAACAGGTGTTTGTGCGCTCGCGAAATGTGGAGCGTGTTCGAGCGTGGGCTAAGAGGAAAGCGGCAGGCACGGAGCCAGAGGTCTGATGGTGCGGCGAGGGGGTATTGACACTGTCTGCTGCCGCCATGATTGGGAATGACACTGGACGGTGCAACCAATAACGATCTTGCTCAAAGTTGATGTGTTCAGATTTGTACAGTGTGCAGTGTGCACTGATGATGCCTTATGTAGCCCTGATGCAGCTGAAGGGTTTCGTTCTATGAACTTTTGCCGTTTCGTCCCACATTGATGCCTGTTGCTCAGGAAAGTCAAAGACATGTGATGGTGTATGAAGTTTTGTGTTTTGTGTTGAATACCGTCAGAAACACTGCCCAATACATCATCATCGTTTGCAGCACCCTGTGTGAGAAAAAGGAGTGCCATGATCAAAATCACTTTTTAAGAATCACGCGGCGTGAACCATTTCAGTTTTACCAATGGTGAACTCTATTATTTTGTAGGAGGTGGCCATATACCATTTAAAGGCTGCAAGACAGCTGCCGTCTTGTGAACTTAAGGGTAACCCGGTTATAGAGCGTTTACACTGAAATGTTTCGTACTTCTTTCTGTCACGCATTTGTCTCAGGATTTGGTAGAACGTGTGTAAAAGTGAGCGTCCGGCGCTGTGGCCGGGCGGCGGCGATGAGCCGATAGGGCAGACACCCCTTCACTCTCTCCATGGATAAGACGGTGCCGAGCGATGGGACATTCAGTGCTGGCTGCAGCAGCAGCGGGAAGGATGGAGATGGGTCGCGCTCTCATGACGGTGAGTGCCATGTCTTGTGGGCCAGTGTGAAGCTGTGTTTAGTGGTTGAATGACTAACGATCGGATGGTGAATGGTCGAGTGAAAACTTTTATCGTGAAATTTGCATAACTGCTTGTGTTAAGATTACGCAAAAGGGCTTTAGAGTTTCACTATGTACCCAACTGTCCATAATTCACGCAAATTATTTGATGTAGAATTGCTTTGGCCGGAGACGTCACCGGAGCACCGTCTGACTGAGCGCGCAGTGTCGAACGCCCCTCTGAACCTGCCGTGCCGGTCACCAGGTGCTCCTGCTGCTGGTGTGTTGGTGCTGCCGGCCTGCAGCCGCCGTGGAGATCCGCATCGCCAGGGGCCTCGACACCAACAGCACGTTCATGGCGCCGCGTCCCACTCCGCCAGAGGAGAAACCCATCTCCATTCCTCCGCACAACTACTCAAAGCCGGCGCACAACTACGTGAGTCACGGATCAGCAGCGGTCGCCCCTGGGTACCGTGACAAATCGCTGGTCATTGGTCAACTAAATTTCGCATAGCTCGGTCTCCTCTTCCCGTATCTGTTCATGACCGTCTCGCCTCATTGCCAAAGCGCAAATTTATGTATGACTTGTGTTTTGCCTTCTTCGAAATGTGCTTCAGTCGTTCAGTCCGTTGGTTCGTGAAGCTTTACATGATTCTGGCAAAGTTTGATATCATATAACTGTAATCAGGCTCTCCAACAAAGATCTTGGAGAAGACGTCACTTTTCAATCTCGCTGACCGCTGTTATATCGACCACTTGCATTTTCGCTTTTCCAGACACACGCTGTGATCGGTCAGAGCAAGCACAAGGTTTGGATCCGCCAGCTTCACTACAAGGTTGGCAGCCGGGTACGGGTGGACCAAGTCACCCTGACGGAAGTCTTCAACGCATCTAAGGTCAGTGTTACGCTGAGAACGCACGTCGGATGTCATCGCCTAACGATCTGTTTGGTACACAATGTTTTCGTTGTGGTTGGTTGTGTTCGACTTTTTTGTAGTTTTGGACAGCAACCTTTTGATTGCGGTCACCACTGCCACGCGTTACGTTAATATCTGCTGCGAGTCTGGACAGTCTGGTAGCTATGATGATGATTTGGCGGTTTTGCGTCCCGACCTGCAGAGGTCATCGGCACCCACGCCTGGTATCTTTATTTCGTCCCGGTGCTCTCTCCGACCCCTCCCCGCCCGCTCCACCCACAGGCCGCTCTGTACCTGCGCGGCCGGACGGCGGACGGCGCCGGTGTCTGTCTGGTGGAGGAGCACCCGAAGAACACCACCAAGAGCGTCTCAGCCTCCAGGCCGCTCGACGAGCAGATGGTCTCCCTGCAGGGTCCCATGGCGGCCACCAAGGGCCGGCTGGTCCCCCTCTGCCGGTCGCTGCCCGTCTACAAAGTTCACAGGATGCAGGCGCACACTCACAAACACAAGGAGAGACGCGCGAGGTACGCCTACAAGACCACGATGCGAGTGTTGGCGTTTATCTGGCGCAACAGGCGCATTCTCGGCCTGCCGTTCGGCGTTCACGGAGACTTTGAGTATCGTGGTTAGCGCCGCGCCGAGCAGTTCAGTATGCTGTCAGTTGAGCTTAGTCGGTCTCCATCCCCGCTGCTAATACCATGCCGCTGAGTCAGACGCTGGGTATGCATTGGTGTTGTGCTTCTGCCTTCGGTATGAAAGGGCAAGTGAAGTCGGGTAGTGCGTATTTATTTGTGATCTGCCGTTCAAGACAGCTCGAAACGGATTCAAAACGGGCTCGCACTCGGAAACGGAAATGAGCCAGTATACAGTCATATCGAATGTATTAACTCGCTCATGACACACACGTTGCATAATGCATATACAATCGGATACTGAGACCAACAACCTCCGTTGTCCCCGCCCTAAGACATGGCCCTGGGAGAGAAGTCCCAGGGACGTGAAACAGCGAACGAGAGCCCACTTGAACTGTCTGTCTTCTCAGCAGACAGTGAACGATAGTCCACCCCACTGTCGTCCTCTAATAGAACGGCCTGCGCTCGCCGCCGCCGTCCCGGTACTGGCCGTGCCGATCACCCCTGTCCCGCCGCTCGTCCCGGCCTCTGTCCCGGCTGTCCCCATAGCCCCGCTCTCTGTCCCTGTCGTCCCTGTAGTCCCGACCGCCCGACCGGTCCCGGTCATCCCTTCCCGAGGACCTGTCGCGGTCGTAGCTCCTGTCCCGGTCGTGGTAGCCGCCGCCGGAGCGGTCGCGGTCGTTCCTGAATCCGCCTCCGCCGCGACCGCGACCTCCCCTCCATCCTCCGCGCTCCTGCCAGGGCCGCCGGCTAAACCAGGGCACCATCACGGGCGGCTCCGGCGTACCCTGCTGCCGCTGACGCACAAACTCCCGGTCGTCGTCAGAGAAACGGTACGCGAACTCTGTCTCGCATTCGTCCAGGAAAGTGCGCTGCTCGTCACTGAGCGCCGCGGTCGGGGCGGTGGGCAGCTGCAGGGCCGTCTCGCCACTGGAGTCCGACATTGTGGGGCAGCGGACCGAGACGGGGCCCAATCACAGTCGACTGCTGGGCCCGTACCGGCGCTACACTCTGTACGACTTGGGAGTGACCAGCAGCTGGCTGATGGCTGTGACAGATGAAAACACCAGTTAGTGGGCATCCCAACGATAGTAAAAACACGGAATGCATCGAGGTTTGATAGTCCCAATATAAAACCTACGGGGAAATGTGACGATTTGAAATGGGATAAACAACGGGAACTATTTTGAATTATATTCTTTATTAACACATGTGTAGCCAATTCAAAAGAATATAATTCAAAATAGTTCCCATTGTTTATCCCATTTCAATACTACTTGTCCTAAGCTCTTATCAAATGTGACGATACCGACCGGGAAATGAACTTTAGCGACACATCACCTGTGATCAATTATATCATAAGCCGTATCCATTCAGTTTAAAAGGATTATCTAAAAAATCAACCGTCGGGACGATAGTTGACGTGCAACAGCCCTATAGCCCACATTTACGATAACAAAAATAGAAAGATGCTTACATGACTCCTCCAAAATCCTGTCTAGAATGAGACCGAAAAACGAGTTGTTTGTCGTGTCTTCCTCCGAAGGCTTAACTTTCTTGAATATCCTGAAAGTAAAAGACAATATAGTTTTGCACGAACACCGATATAAAAGCACAGCAAACGAAAACAGTGGTAAAGCGGAGACTTCCCCCCCCCCCTAAACATCGGTAAAATTCAGTAGCGGCGGAACACCTTCAATTAAGGGGGGGGGGCACTGCCGACTTTTGGTCTCATTCTTTCCATGCAACGCCCATAGGGCTGATGTTAAAATGCCAAAATAAAAGGGGGCACGGTGCACCGGTGCCCTCCCCGTTCCGCCGCCTATCTAAATCGAACTAACATCTTCTGCAATAAAACATTTAAAATACACGGCACCAAGCAGGCAATCCAACACTTATTGAGTCCAAATACCTAACAAGTTTTAAGGTGTTACAAATCCATAGCAAATGTGAAGATCACCGTGTGGTTACGCTTACCAGCCGATGTGAGTGTGGCACGTGGGACAGAGACAAATCTTCCAACTGTAGCCCGGAAACCACGAGTGAGATGAATGCCACTGGAAGGAGAGAGAGAGAGCAGTGATTACGCTACAATATGAGAATATTGCGTTCGCTTCCCGCAGTTTAGCTTTTACACATGCGGTATTTGCACATGACAAATGATGATACGAATGTGGCGAGTGGCGACTTACAAAGACTCTAGGGCTGTTCCGAAAAGATTATGGACTTGCCGTCAACCGCGTCCTAGGCAGAGCGAACAATATCGAATTGGCCTTCCCCGGATATGACAGGTCGGACAATATTAAATTATCATCCCTCAGGACACTGGACACTATCAACCCCAGGGCAAGGTACCCATACTTCCCAACCGAGCGGTGGGACAGAGCAGGGCACTGCATTAGTGACTCAGTACCCTGGTGCTCTCAGTTCGCACAGTGCAGATTTACCGTGCCCTGGCCCCTGGGTGCACTTAGCATCGGCTTCATGAAACAGGAGGCGCTCAGAGCATACATTTGCGGCACTGACATCGTGCTCTACGCAATGCTAGCTTACCGTGCCCTGGGGCGCGCAGATGCTGTGCCGGACCGTCACCACCTCAAACTGATAGCCGTGAGGGTTCTGCAGGAGCTGCACATTCGATCGCACAGAACCTGTAATGGCAGCAATTGCATGATAGATGAAAACCTACTGATTAACCAAAGAAAATAAGCTGATTCAAGTAATTATTGGTAGTATTCCTTTCATTATTGCCTACTTATAGAACATAGCCTAAAAACCCTAACTTCTAAAAACCCTAACCCTGATCACAAGCATAGCAAAGAAGAATAAAATAACTAGCACATCTTGAAGGTACAAGCAGTAACAACTATCAAGTATCAACCATACCATTATGCAACAGGCATCTACCTTATTCATCATTTAGATTACCTATTCATATTCAAATGTCAAAGCTGTTAACAAGTCAGCCAAACTTGAACTGATTCTCATAAGGTTACTGCCAGGAGTCATAGGTACAAAGTGTTGACTGTTGGACTATTTGGACCAAATGTAAGGAGTAAAATAATCACCTATTACTGTGTTGTTTTTTGTTTGCAGTGACCCTGGACTTTCAAAACTGAAGATGTCTTGAGGGTCAAAGAGGTCGTGTCCACAATGGCGGCAGATCACAATGCTGTTGTTTTCTCCCAGTGACTCCTCTCCTGAGAAGGAAACACACTAGTTAGTAACCAACAGATGCTAGATGACATGCAAACTCCTTGAGTGCCAGGAATGGCATTTCATAGTAGGTACAGTGGTGATTCAGTTGACTACAGAATGAGGCTCCACTCCTCTCAGAAGCTGAAGCTATCAGCTCAGTGAGTTGACTGAAATGCTGAGCCATGAGGTTTTGGTTTATCACGCAATTAAGCTTGATAAACTAGGCACAAAATTCTCATGGTAAGCCTTGGCAATCTTCCAGTGTAAGTTTCAGAAACATTAAGTAAAAAAAATCTTTTTTTGTTACTCTCAAAGATCTCAGAATCTGAAAAACTATAAGTGAACGAGCTCCAGGCCTCTCACCTGGGACTTGACTGTTACCGTCAGTGAGTGAAAGTTCACTCACTTCCAGGAGCGTCAATAATACGAGAATTCCGTACTGCATCAGCAACCGAAGCATCTAGCACAAATAGGCATACCCCTCAAAAATTATCCAGCCAAAATTTTATATCACTCATTCATTCATTTCTACGGCTTTGATTCTTGTAAACAAAATCGCCGTACTGCGCGAAACCTGACGCACATTATGTTCAGCAGCAGGATTTGCGTTGCAAAATATTCTCTAGTTGCCTAGAAACCTGTCAACAGCTGGTTGCTAGGCAATTTCAGGAGAAAAAAAATGAAACGAGCATCACCAAATGAGTGCCGGGCTTCGATAAGGACTTAACCCACGAGCCGCTGGGGGGGGCATAAAGTTGCCCCCCCTTTACGTTTTGTGAAATATCTCCGAAACCAGATGAGCTACGAACGTGAAACTTGGCATAGCTTCAAATGAATACCTAGGCAATGTTTGAGGAAAGTTTGGTGGTTGTAGCACCTAAGATGACGTCACAGTGACGTCATAAAGTTTTGTCGTTTTCCGATATGGACCGTTTCTGATGACGCTGAGCATGAAACTCAACTGTAAATGAACTAGACAGCACCTGCTGTCATCCTAAAACATCTAACTATACTTCCATCGAGTTTCTGACCAATAATCGACCCTTTATATTCGGTCCCATATATCTGATGTATCGTGAGGAATATGGGAGTCGCAAATCTATAATTACACTTATGACGTCACTGTGACGTCATTTCAAATGGGATCGACACCAAATTCGGACACAACCTCGGCTAGGTATTCAGGAAGATGTGTGCAAAGTTTCGCCTCTCTATCTCTTCGCGTTGCGACGATATCGTCGCAGAAGTAAAGGGGGGGCAACTATATGCCCCCCCCCCCCAGCGGCCGGCGGGTGGCGCGGAGGCCCAGCGGCCGCCGGGTTAAGACTTGGAAAAAGAAAATGAATAAAAGCTTATGTTCATACTCGAATAGCCTTGCCAACACGAAAACACCGTTGATTCCAGCATTTCATTTTGGGAAGAAGTCAGCATTTTAGAGTACGACCACAGTATTTTTAGACACAACATAAAAAGCCAAAGATAAATATATTTAAATATGCTGAATGTCGAAATTTAAGGCGCATTCTAAAAGTTGCATTTTTTAAGCATAAATATTGCTTTTATAGAATAAGGTAATAATACTTTTTTCCGATTTATTCACAAATTGTATGCTTAAACGGCAGCGCTGGACGTGATCGGCTGAAAACATCCTTTCAAGAATCGCAACCATGGCGGACGTAAGTGCCTATCTAATTTTCTGATTTTTGTACTTTTTCACGAACTATATCGCGCAATGATGAGCCATATGGGCTGACAAATTTCCAATATTTTGCATTGCTATTGATCTCTCTAAAGTTCTAGCACGGGTTCTAGCTAAGTTGGGCGCAATAGTCATGCTTATTTTCCTGCTACACACAAAATGTGAAATAAATATTTAAAAGGATTTGTTTCTAGGGTGGCCTGTTTGCCATTAACTGTTAGTAAGGGGTTTTCAGCTGTTACCCCTCCAAGCTTAGTCCTTTTCCTTCACCTTCAGTCTGCTTAGTACCAGAAATGTACCTAACCTAACTTAGCATAACCCCTAACCTAACCAGCCTTTATGAAATCTGAATAACCTGAAATCTGAGTAATAAAATCTTAAATGAAATCTGAAAAGTAAAATACTGAACTAACCAGCCTTCTTAACCCTGCCTAACCTCTTTGAGATTTGTGTGGACCAGGATTCATGAACGAAGGTTTGAGAGGACTGAGGACGAAGAAATGCGACGACATAGGAATTTGGATGCTAAGAAATGTGCCACGAATATTTGCGCTTATGATGAAATGCGTGGACGAGGAATTGCGCGATGAAGAAATGCCATGCTAACGTTTGTCAGGATACTTTGCCAAATGCTTCTGGTTACGCAGCCAAACCGGTGTAATTAACATAGTGGCACATCATTGACAAATACCATTTTATAATCAAGTAAAGTAACCGTACTCTCATAGTTAATATCCAAAATCGTAAGAAAAAGCCTGATAATTCCGAGGAGCTTTCGGCTTACGCCTTCTTCAACTCGCTCTACTTTATTTCCTTTTTGGCGCAAACACATTGAAATTCAAATCGATAGCAGCTGCAGTTAGGCACAGGCACTTCTCTAAAGGGTTTCATAACATTACATAGGAGTATTATAAAACATAATTATATAATACATTACCTAAAGGGTTTGACCTAAAGGGTTAGATAAAATTACAAAATATTTCCTTACATAGGCTGCAGAGTACAAATACATTCACAATGAAACTAATACTGCCTGATTAAACATTTTCCCAGAACAAGGCAAGCCTGCGTTAAACAAATACATAATTCAGTGACAGTTTCTACCTAATTCAATACATAATTCAGTGACAGTTCTACCTAATTCAATACGAATTTTACCATAACCAGAAGATTTACAAAACAAAAACACAAAAACACGCACATACAATACCACTCGAAAAAAAAAAACACATACACACGATGTCACAACTAGCCAGTCGAATCGACACTCAGTCAGACTCAAGTACGAATCAGGGGCCAGGAGGAGGTTTGAGTGTTCAGAGTTGGTTTTAGATCTCGAATGTAGATGGATTCCCAGATCTTTCGGTTTGGGCCGTCTCTTGACACATGCAGAATTTGAATGGAGACGTTGCTGCTGTTCAGTTGAACATCAGGATGCTGAAAACAGTGCTAACAGCAATTCAAATACCATTTTACCCAGAGACTTATCACCCTGTTTTCAATCAATTATCCTTTTACAACTTTTCCATGAGAGGCGGTACGTATGTTTCTCTTGCCCATAGGCGTTGTTTCAATTCATTTCAACTGACAATCAATTGGGAACAGCATAACTTCCCAAATTTGTCCAATATGGCAATTTTTCATAGAGTGCAATTACTGTTGCACATGATGGCTGCAGTATTCCCGTGCTGATTGGGCGCCCAGATACTACCAGTATAACGCCTTTTGGGGCGACTAATGGAGCGAGCGAGAGGGTGGGCCTTGCACGTGCGAAATTGCGAGGGGGTACCTCCAACTGACTTGTGCACAGCACCCTCTTAAGTGGTCTCTAGCGATGTGCCAAATTTGGGCACAATCGGCCCAGCCGTTCTCTAGATTTGGAAGCGGCACCCTGCACGTGCGCACATGCAAAATGGGTCTCAACTGACTTGTGCACTGCACCCTACTAACCGGTCCCTAACTGTGTACCAAATTTGAGCGCTATCGGTCGAGCCGTTCTCGAGATCTGGAAACGACCACTGCACGTGCGCACGTGCAGCAGCACCCCAACTCTGGCACATGGATATGCAGTGCCTAGTGGGTGCCTACCTACATGTCAAGTTTCAGCGCAATCGGCCAAGTAGTTACCAAGATATTGCAACAATTACAAAAGTGACACCTCTTCGTTTTGCACGTGGCACGTGCACAAGGGTTCACCCACATGCATCAGGAATAGTCAAATACTTGGTAGAAGGAATGAAGCTACCCTAAAAAGATTACCGCATGTAAATCGGTCAAGTGGTTGCTGAGATATAAGCCTCGCAAAAGCGTCCGCACGGCCGGCCGGCCGCTCATACTCAGAAATTTCCGTTAATCTAAGGAAAGACTCCGCTCGCTTCGCTCGCTCCGTAATGATCTGCATCTGGATGGAACTGGTGTCTGAAAAAATTTAGCCCTTTTCGCCCAATTTCACACTCTGATCGCTAACATGTAAATTGTAAAGTCTATGACGCGAATTTGCACTTAAGGTACGCGCTCACCATTGACCCAACCGAACTCAGAGCCCTCAAGGGTACGTTGCGCAACGACCTGGCCTGTAGCCCGTGGCACAGGTCGCCATGTTTGCTGCCATTGTTTCATGCTACACAATTTTGTGTGTCAGAACTCATCTTACTTTTTATTATGTCGTTTTGCAGAACGTAGAAGTGAAGAAGCGGCGTACCTTCAAGAAGTTCACGTACCGCGGCGTGGACCTTGACCAGCTGCTGGACATGGGCGACGAGCAGCTGAAGCAGCTGTTCAACGCCCGCCAGCGGCGACGCATCGAGCGCGGACACAAGAGGAAGCACATGGCGCTGCTGCGCCGCCTCCGCAAGGCCAAGAAGGAGGCGCCCGCCATGGAGAAGCCCGAGGCGGTCAAGACCCACCTGCGCGACATGATCATCGTGCCCGAGATGACCGGCAGCATCGTCGGCGTCCACAACGGCAAGGGCTTCACCGGTGTCGAGATCAAGGTGAGCTAGAGTCGGGCAGATGCGGTGTTGTTGGGCTGCTTTTTGCAGCTTCATTGTTTTACCGCTGTATTCAATGTTTACCGCTGTAGCATTTTATGGTTGAACCTCTTCGTAAATTTAACGGCTTTAACGCCATATCTTCGAATTGCGATAGCTATTGTTAAATAGCGTCCTTCCAAATTTGACCGAAAGTATCTAGCATTCTGTCACATTCCCCTTTTCAGTCTTCCTTCTATTGCACCAATCCGCATGTTGCAGTGGCTGCTCCCTCGTATATCGTGCTAACTGGCGTTGTGTTCTGTTCGGCAGCCGGAGATGATGGGCCACTACCTGGGCGAGTTCGCGCTCACCTACAAGCCCGTGAAGCACGGTCGGCCCGGTATCGGAGCCACCCACAGCTCGCGGTTCATCCCTCTCAAGTAAATGTGTCCGCATTGACGCGCTACAATACACGGGAGTCACCGCACCTCGTTCTGTGTGTGGGTCACTGGGAGAGGTAGAGTGGGTCAGGGGAGAGGGAGCGCTCGGGGTGCCAGGTTGGGAGTCGACAGTAGATGGCGCTGTATTCCGGGGGCGCCACTTGTGACGAATGCTAAGAATTGCGTAGCCCGAACGGATGAAAAAGCAAGAGGTGTTTGGGTTGGGGGGGTGCTTATAGCTGTTAAAACCATTTCATATTATTTTATTCCACTCTGTATCCGGACAGAGGTAAGGTAATTCACAGGGAGGGAGAAATCCAGTCGTAAATGCTAAGGGTCCTTTTGATCATTTATTCAAACGGATATAGGTAAATCAATTTGAACAAATTTTGATGGTACGAACGTCGTAAAACATTGTTTATTTCTATGAACGATGCTACATCATTAGTTGGTTGTACGTCATCTTTTGCGCGTGCGTGGACACAATTCAAGCCGTGTTCTGATAGCCTATCTCCCTCCG